GTTCCCCTTGATCCTGCCCTACCAGGTCTCCCACACCCACCTCCCCAGGCTTTATTTCTTTATTACAAAATTGGCGTGAAATTGTGTAATTTACTTTATTGGCTCCATCCTTAAGGCAGAACAGGCACTGAATAATCTTTTAAAACATTACGTTTACCCAAAAAACCAAATAAAAAATAAATAAATAAAACATTACGTTTAATGACTAGGAGATAGTCTATCACATGATGCACTATATTGCTTTATGGTTGGCTATTTAGACTTGCTGTCTTAAGTCATTATAATGTTAGAAGCAACATCTTTGCATCACAAATATTTGACCACATTTCTGAAGGTTTTTCTCAGCAATCAAAACCAAGACCTCATTGTCATGGCAACCCTATAGGATAAAGTAGAACTGCCTACTGCCTCTGTGGGGTTCTGAAACTGTCTCTTTCTTGCTCGCACTCTCTATTTTACAGTTGTACCTTTATTTGAAAGTCTCATCTGCCAACTTAGTGTTTTCCACCAACCCCAGGAGTGGAAACTGTGCCAGGCTTCACCGTCTTGTACTCAGTGCCGCCTTTGCAGGGCCTCAGTAGCAGCCACGGCTGTCCTTTTGGGCGCTTGCTTTGCCTTTTTGCCTCCTTGGCAGCCCCGACAGCCTGTCTCGTTGGGGCTTCCTGACCTTGAGGTTTCTGATTCCTCTTGGCCATCCCATCAGTAAGAGATGCACTGGCGATGGCCTTCTGAATTTGACTGCCTGGCGGGTTCGTTTCTTTTGAATGTCTTCTGATTGCCCCCTTTCGGGCTTCCTCCTGGAAAGAACAGTCCAGTTTATCTGCCGCGGGTTCCTCTGGGAAAGGAATGCCCATTCACATTTGCATTAAGAAATTGGAAAATCTTTCCATCCACCCTGGCCTACACCTCCGTGTCTGGGGAAAATCTTGTTCCCGCCGAAACTGTACAGCTTTACCTTCATGGCTGTGGCAGCAGAAGTTCAGGGATGATGGCCAACAGCTGAAATGGTAACTCTGCAGGAGTGGAAAACCTAGTCTTACTCCTTCGGAATGGCTGGTGTTTTGAACTGCTGACCTTGCAGTTAGCAGCACAACCTGTAACCCCCACGACCCCAGGGGTCCTTTTCTCAGGAAAGATAACCTAAAAATTAGAGTAAGGGCAGGAACTCTTTTTTTGGGTACATAATATTTATTTAATTTTGCTGTGAATTAAGTGAGGCTTATGTACCAGGCCACTATTTTTGCATTCACCATTTAAAACAAATGATCAACCTTCTGCATGGCTTGCTGTTTCCCTCTCCACTTCCCCCCCTTCCCATTGCCCTCTTCAGTGGCATTTAAAATAAAATAACATTTCTAACTGTTGAAACTCATTTAAAAAAAATACTAAGCTTGTCAATGTGTCCATATATTACTGCCAACCAGGCTCTTGAGGTCCACAGTGGGTAGAAACTTACAGAATGGGAGCGAAATGTCAAACAAAATTCAGTTTCTTAAGTGTAAGCATGAAAAAATAATAATTTACAAATTATCAAGGTTCACGAGGGATTGTGAAAAAGGGAGGAGCTGACACCAAGAGCTAAATAGAAAGAAAATGTTTTGAAAGTGATGATGGCAACAAATGTATGACTGTGCTTGACACATGGATGGATGGATGGCTTGTGATGAGTTGTGCGAGCCCCCAATAAAATAATTTATTGTTAAAAATTCAGTTTCTTAAAAGTCTAGACCGAATGGACTGGCTAAGACTAGAAGCCTCCCAGAGACCACTGCCCGGAGATAAGCTTTTAAGTCTTCACCTGGAATCATCCCTTAAGACAAGAAGCCCTGCAGAGGGCAAGTGCCAGCCAGTGGACACAGGCCACTCGCTGTGTGGGATGACGGAAGCAGCTGGGTGTGCATGAGAATGGACCAGAGAAGAGGGATCTGAACAGGAGAGCACACCCCAGTCTCACTGGCCCTCTAGCTTGCATGCTGTGCTTAAACTGGACACACTATTTCTTCACAGGCCTTCACAAAGCTCAAAAGCAAGCCTGTGGACTTCAGGAAAGGGCAAGTCAAAAGAGAATTGGGGATAGCAGTAAAATATAAAGTACTATTTTTTTTTTCGGTGTGATCTCTGCTCTGGCAGTTAGATGATTTGTTTTTGTAAATTCCCAAACTTATAAACGTTTTCACTATTTTGCGTGCTGACCCCAAAACTTAGTTACATAATGTTGTGATAATAAATAAATAAACAAATAAATAAACAAATCATCCCTTGATGTCACCTTCTGGCTAAATAACAGATTAACTCATAATATAAATAATATCTCCCTGAATGAGCTTCTTTAAGAAAAATCATCTATAGACAGCCAAGTGGTCAAAAATGACTAGGGTAGGTGTTGATGGGAAGAGGCACCAGAAGTTAAAAAAACAAGCAACAAAATGGATATGAAGGGGAGTGGATGTAGCGGAGATCCAAAGTCCACCAGCAACACAGTTGGACAGACTCCCTCTTAGAAGGGCCTAACCGGAAGGAAGATAAATCCAGGGTGTGGTGTGGTATTGATGAACCACATAACAATCCTCTAGTTCTTTAAGATTTCCTCCCCTTATTATTAAGGCCCTTACGTGATACACCTCATTAATCTTGTTAGATTTGTTCATTTGTACATTTAAGATCGCTTGGTACATGGTAGTCAAGAGTCAAGATAGATGACCCCTCACAGTCTGTGATAGTCAGGAGTAGGGTTCCCTGAAGGATGAGTGAGAGGTTGGGGGGAAGAGGGGAGAAGAGAGTTGGCAGCACTGATGATTGTATAACCCCACCTAACTAACTGTATGGGAAAGGAAGGGATGTTTTGGAGTGAATAAGATATACCATAGGTACTCATGTATAAGCCGAGTTTTTCAGCACATTTCTAATGCAATTTTTGTGGTAAAATTAGGTACCTTGGCTAATATTCGGATCGGCTTATACTCGAATACATACGGTATCAATAAAAATATTGTTTAATTTAAAAAAAATGACTCTAGGGTACAGATGGAAACATCAGGGAGCAGGAATACTAGAGTATTGGAAATTGGACAACCAGAGCAGAATATTCGAGCATAAGCCGACCCGAATATTAGCCAAGGCACCTAGTTTTACCACAAAAAGACTGGGAAACTTATTAACTCAAGTGTAAGCCTACGGTGGGAAATGCAGCAGCCAGTAGTAAATTTCAAAATAAAAATAGATACCAATAAAATTACATTAATTGGGGCATCAGTAGGTTAAACGTTTTTGAATATTTATTTCAAAGAAAAGCAGTAAACTAGCCTGTAAGTGGAAAAGAGGGTCAACAAAAACAATACGGTGTCAACAATAACTTTAAAAGTACAAAAACCGGAGCGCCGTTCCTGCCTCAACTGGAGCCACACAAACGCCGCAGCGCCCCGTCCATCCTCTGCCCGCTGGGTTCCCACCTGCCGCGCTCGACTGGAAATGTCAGTGACCGTGCACGAGACTGCTGTGCTATCCAGGACGGGCCCTTCTTCCTACCCGCGGGAGGCTTCTCTGGGAAAGAGCGAACGAAAGCCATCCGACGCAGATCCAAGACTAGTACACTGTGGCATCTAGCTTCTAGGGTAAATCGGTAAACTTCAGATTTCAGGTTGAGGCTGAAAAAATGATTGATGAGGTCCCTTAGAGCGTTTCTGTGCCTCTAATACTGAGATTCGGTCCCGGAAATGAAAAGCAGTTAAGGAATGAAAGATTTAAATAGAAACATAAAGATACCGATAAATATGTTTCTTATTTACATATATACATACACAACATAAATATGTGCTTGGTACAAAAGAAGAAATCAAATGGCTGCGGTGTTTCTTTCGGAGGTGAATACCGTAAAATTATATGTCAACAACATATATATTGATTTCGGGGCACGTTTTAGATGAGAAGCTGACATCTAGTCATTCAGTTCCCAAGCTACCACGTGACTTCATCCACACAAGAATTCTCTCTATCTGTTTGGCTTGATTGGAACCCAAGAATGCAGAAGCTGTAAAGTGGCATTCAGGAAAGACTAAAAAATACCAAGCATAAAAAAGAAAACATGAAGCTGATCTTGTATTAGGTACAGGGCATGAAAAGGTTAATATTTTAAAACTTTGTTGTCCTGAAAGATTTATAGGTTCATCAACTTTATAAAGGAATAGCATAAGTGTACATATACAAATAGAAAACAAAATGGAGCTAATATTTATGTCCATTAGAAATATAGATATAGAAGCCAACTTGAATTGCAGAAGGATAAAATAGGATTTGGGTCCCGAAGCTACCAACTACTACTAGTAATGTGATTTTGAGGATATCAATTTCAATTGTCAATCTGTAAAATAAAAACGATGATCCTCAAAAAAAAAAATACAAAAACCTTAGCTCAATCGGCAATGAAGCTAAAACACGAGTTAGAATCCTTCAAAACTGGATTCCTCCTCCTCATCTGTCTGTCCACACAGAGCTTCAGCTGTAGCTGGGGTGAGGGTATCGGCCCAGACATTGTCCTCATCCCTGAGTTCACAGTCACCACCAACACTGCTGTCCTTCTCAGACAAAACGCCGTCTTCACTGCCGTCCACAGCACTACTGATGCCACATTTCATGAAGGCGCGTTGCACCTTGTCCTCTGGAATCTCTTCCCATGCATCACGAACCCACTTTGCTATCAGTTCTATGTCAGGCTGCAACAGATTTCCAACTTTTTCAGTCAGGCTTGACCAGATAACATCCATTCATGCCACATGTTTCACACACGGTCTTTGAAAGGTTTATTTAAACACACATCTAGGGGCTGCAATACAGATGTAAGCCCACCTGGAATAATGGCCAAAGTAACTTGAGAAGACTTTGCCAATTTTTTAATTTCATCAGATGTCTGGGCTCTAATCTTATCCCAAACTAGCAATGATGGTTTTTCCTTTGAGGTTGCTCCTGGTCGTCCGTTCCAAATTTCTTCCAGCCATTTTTTTGTTCCATCTTCATTCAGCCAGCCTTTAATATGTGCACGCACTGTAATTCGTAATTTGACCTTTTTAGGCAAGCTTTTTCTTTTAAAAATAATAACAGGCCACAGCTTAGTTCCATTAGCCAAACGTGACAGAATGACTGTTTGTGGTTCTTTTCATTTCCTGTGGTTCTGAGTAAAACTAGTTTTCTCTCCCAAACATGCCACAGTTCTGTTGCTTGGAAGATCAAAGGTCATAGGTGTTTCATTCATATTCCCAATATCTCCCAGGTCATAGTTACGGATCCTTCTTTGTTTTATGGTGAATGAATGGAATGACATCACTTTTTCATCAAGGTCTTTAAGCAGCTTCTGTGAAATCTTTGTTCTTTGCCGCAAACAGGGCAAACCTCTTCATGAACCATCCTGCTGACACAACAAAATTTTCAATGCCTGGTGCTTTTAATTTGTCGTCTTTAGCCACTTGAAGGGCACATAAGCGAATTCCCATGCGTGTTAAGCAGTAACCATTTTGACAACACTCCAGAACCCATTTATGCAATTCAGTCTCTAGAGCCCCACATGAAGTGGTTAAAGCCCCACATCGAGGTTTTTTTTTTGCCTTTGGAATCTTTTCCAAGTCAGCTTTCATTTTCCGCCACTCCCTCACTTGTTTTTCGTCAACACAAAATTCCCTACTTGCAATACTGCTATTGCTTTCTTTTGCTCTCGACACAGCCCAAGTTTGAAACAAACTTCGTATGACCTGCGTTTTTGTTTTGGTCCAGGATTAGAAGTATTGGGATCCATTTCTAAGAGGCTTAAAAAAAAGACTTTGAAAGAATGCTGTATCATAGGGATTGAATCCTCAAAATATACTGT